TTGCAAAAGGGGAAATTACATGGAAGCTAGTTTCGTGTCTTTTTCACAGCAGTTAAAAATATCCAGCTTGTTTATCTGAATAGGCATTTCATGTGTCTTATCTAAATGAATATATGGTACATTTTGACTGGAAAAAAATGGAAGTCACTCTAGCTGCTGTGACCTTCGGATTACCTGCTAAAAGATTTGAATGTAAGGCTTCTCTGTATTAACGATAATGCTTGTATTAAAAGTTGAAAACTGTCCTCACTGTTCATGGAACAGTCTCTAGGTTAAGGATATTGTATTTTAAGCATGTCATCGTTTGTTGCACATACAGTAGTCCACCAAATATTTTTAGTTTTAAGTGACCAGGATTTTTGCAACACAATCAAGACATTTTGTGAATCAATTTACCCCAATGAAATGCTGCAATAGCAAATTCTATTAAAAAACACAGCAGTGCAAATAGTTTTGTCTTAATTTGCTCAGGTTCAAAAATGTCTGCCTCCCGTAAAGTATAGGTCAATGGCATTTGAACATGCAATGTTAAATATTTTGACACTACCTTTTGATTCCACTGTTACCTGATCGGTACGAGAGATTAAAAATGAGGGACAACTGTCGTTATTACAAGTCATTCTGTTGGGGACAAGAACGTTTAGACACACTACAAATGGAAATCTGTCCATTAGTTGATCATGTACTGTCCTCATTAACCTTTAGTGGCACTACAGGACAAGTTAGGGAATCTTCAAAATCATTGGGATTTAAGAAACTTGGTACTATGAACTTTGGTAACAATTTCTCTGGTATTTGTATCCAAAACTTGTTGCAATATCTTTGTTTGCATCAAAGCAAAGCACCAATTAATCGAGATTGCCATCCATATATCAATGCTGCTAGTACGGTTAGCAGAAAAACCATGTGCATATCTTCTCCAAAACCCGTTTGGCTGGCTCCTCTTGATAATCCATAAAAATATCACTTTGAACATTTTTCTTGACTCTTCCCTTCCTAGGAAATAGCTTCACTGAATACTGTTCACAGTGAGGGTTGTTTATTATTTAGATTTACCAGGATTCTTTTTTTTTAGAAAGGTTGACGATTATAGATCAAACTTTTATCTTCCTGTGAGAAACAGGGGATTATTTTCCATTTACGTACACCAAAATCTCTGAGACAGATTTCTTTAGCCATATTTAATCAATGCTATCTGCTTCATGACTTGTCAAGTCATATTTTCTGGTTGAGACAATAAAAACCACCACATGATTTTAGATGACTGGCAAAAAAAAAAAAAAACGGCGCTTTGGTTTGGTGCCGCCAAAACAAACCCTCTGACATTTATTAAGGTAACTCTGGGATCATGAAAACATTTTTTAAACAAAACAGGATCATCCGATTAAACCTTGCGGCAACTGCCTCACAGAAACCACGCTGAATTGATGTGTCGAGGGTATCCGACACAATATACCCGACCACATTCCCTGTTCCCCATCACCAAGGAATGAGCCCGGCCTTCCACACCAACTCCCCCCACGCTCCCCCCCCTCCTCAACCTCCAAACCCAATCCAATCTACAGCCGGCAACATGAAACAAATAAACACTAATTCGTATTATTTACGTCCAGTTTACACCACATGACGAGAGGTATGAGCTGGAGAAGAAAGAGCTATATGGTGGGTGGATAATTGTAACAGTGGTGGTAATAAGTGCAGCGGCTACAGTGATAACAATTAGATTTGATTTCATTTGAGAATGCCTCCACAGCTGCTCCCCACTCACCCCCTTAACCCCCTTCTTCCCCTTTTTTCCCTCCCTCCCCCTCCTCCCGCTCCTCTCCCCCTAGATTAAAGTGGGTGTGTTAATTCCGTGGTGTAGCGATCGAACAGCTCTGGCAACAATGGGAAATGGGCTATTGATCAGAACAGCTCAGATTAAGACTAGGCAGTGGAGCTCTTTCTTGCTCTCTTTCCCCTCCTTTTCTCTCCATTTCCCACCTTCTTCTGCCTGTCTTCCTGTCTGTCCTGCTTGTGTCATCCCCCCTCTCCCCCTTGCTCCTTTCTACCTCTCTCTTGTCTTTTACACCCACAAAGAAGAAGAAAGAGTGTTTGCATGTAAACGAGTCTATGAGGATTTCCTTGTCCTTCCTCTTGTGCTTTTCCTACTTCCCCTCTCCTAATGTCTGTGCATCAGCTTCTCCTATTGTCTTAAAATATTGCATTTTTCTATCATATCTAAAGGATGAATAGGAACCAAAAAATATACGGCTGTATCCTGAAGCAGAAATACAATGGGCACATTGTGAGCCTTTTAACAGTTCACTGTGCTGCAATTTGACATCCATTCACATGAGATTTTATATCAATCAGTCACAGCAAGCCCCCGTGTTGTGCCACAATTAAAATCCGCCCTATCAAAACAGCTCACATACCAAAATTAGCTGTCATGATCGGAGCCGCGGGACAGAACACATTGGATTTGCATTGAACAGACATAAAACATACCAAATGTGAGGAGACAGCAAATCCATACAGTGAAAAGTGAGCTAAGAATCCCCTGCTCTACTTATATTAATTAACTCAGTCAATGTGGATGTGATAGGTCAGTTATTCATCCTCTTCCAGCGCTTCCCCACTCTGTCACACATACCTCCCAGGTGTCAGAGGCTCAGGCGCTCCAGCTGCTGAGTGGGGGACCAGCAGAGGAAAATCTAAAACACAACCGATGGTGAGCAATATTAAGAGCTGATCTGAGACCAGTGTTTAGAGGTTGTTTAGAGGTGTTTAGAGAGGCATGCTTCAGTACGTCTGCTTTTGCCCTTTTTGAAATTTAGAGGCGACATGGACTAATGCAACAGACACCGCATGTATGTACAAATACTGACATGCACCGACAGCATACACACACACACACACACACACACACACACACACACACACACACACACACACACACACACACATACACTAGTGGTCACATCAATATTGCCATGACCCTCAGGGGACTTGAAGTATTGGCAAAGCTTTCATCTGCTGAGTGTGTGAGTGTCTGAAACCCCCTGCTCCCAGACACAGACACACACACACACACACACACACACACACACACACACACACACACACACACACACACAAACACTTGACAAACAGCAGCAGCAAAAAAAAAAAAAAAACATCATATAGCAAACAAACCCACTGTGGTTGTATAGCTATGTGCAGCTATGGGCCTAAAAGTACAAGAATCAGGTCTCAGAGTTGAGAAAGTGTCAGCTGGAGGGGTTAACAAGCATTGATGGAAGGCTGAGATAAGCAGTCAACACTAGAGGGCGTTAAAGAGGTACATGTTCGTACCCGAGTGTGTGGTGATGTATGGCTGTGACCATGGACATATTGGACCAACATTTCCCTTTACATTCAACATAATGGGATTTTCTTGAAGGTTGAAACCTTTCTGTTTTGATGAGGGTTGTGGCTGTTTTAATCTTCAATTAATCGGTCGATTATGTGCTTGATAAATTGCCCATGAATGTGGTATAAAAGTAAAAAATTAAGTGAAATATTCAGGTTTAGTGTGTGGTCATACTGAATATATGTAACCCCAAACCCCCCAAATGTATCCCAAAAAACTACATTTAATATGCTAGAGCCAGTAATTGTTTAGAGTTTTTGCTTTTATTACTAATTCATTGGCAAGTCATTTACTTATATCCTGCTCATCATCCAAAAAAAAAGATCTCCCAAAGCTAATTTCCAACTACTCCTACACTGTAAGGTATGTCATGTTAGCAATTCAAAAAATGGCCTTACTCCACTGACAGTCTTTAGAAAGCAGGGTAACTTCATCATCCTCGTCTTCCTTCCAGCTCAGTCCCCTTTATCCTCCTCTCCTTTCCTCACCCTCTCCCCTCTTCTCCTTTTATTCTCTTGTCATACAGTCCAGCTCTCTGCACTCAAGTGGGTTCCATAGGTTTACCTAATTGATTATTAAGTTGTTGATTGGGGATCAATTAAATAATTAAACTTTGTTAAGGGCAGGGTCGATTTACCGGCACAAGAGGCAGGGCATGCTCTCCTCTACTGTGTGTGTGTGTGTGTGTGTGTGTGTGTGTGTGTGTGTGTGTGTGTGTGTGTGTGTGTGTGTGTGTGTGTGTGTGTGTGTGTGTGTGTGATTGCATGTATAGAGATGGTTGATAGATTTGATGCTATTGAGTTGAAGGCATCTTATTGTTGATTCTTCTGCAGGGAGAGAAGACAACAGATTAAAAAACTGTGATTTGTGTTTGTTGAGCCAGACTGACTGATAGGGCTCCACTTGTGTGGATGTGTGTAAATGTTTTTTGTGCATTTTGTTGTGACTTTTGGTAGCAGTGAACCTAAAGACAGAAAACTGCCATGATCGCTCTGGTTTCACACTTGGCCATCTTTGTGTTCAGGAGGATGTTGTAGGGCGCTGAGGTACTATGATTCCAGCTTGGAACTTGCAACTGCTTCTAGTGACAACACCATTGCCTGTTTAGGGACTTGCTCCTTGATTCAAGTTGAGAAACTTCTTGGGTCAACATGTTGATGTAGACAATGGCACCTTGGTGGCCATGGAGGTGAAACAGGGTAGAAGTGGCTTTTTTTGTGGTGCCCTGGAAGACAAAACACACACCCAGCATTACACTACACACTTCCACACACACACACACACACAGTCCTCATATATGAGACACAGGAGCGGAAACGGGTCGAATCCTACTTCAAATTCTCTTTCCTCTCGGCTTGTCGACCGGGGAAAACAAACCGACCCGAGGCACTGCGAGTGGGGATTTACTAATTAACTACTTACACACGCGCGCACACACACAGGGAGAGACAGAGAAAGCAAGAGAGAGTGAGAGCGAGATGCACACCTCCTCTCCTCCCTCCTCCCTCCTCCCTCCTCCCCGCTCCCTCCCCCTCTCCCTCCCTCCCTGTGCTCTCCTCTCCGGGTTCAGGTTGGTAGTAGTGCTGCCTCTCCGGTCGCTGGCTCGGTGCGCCGTCAGATTGAATGCGTGTGGATAGAGTGATCGCACTTTACCCAGTGAGAGCTTTAACATCACTTTCTGAACAACCAGCGGTATGTCTTCTTCTTTAGATAATCTTAAATTAAACAACGCTATTATTATGCTATTATTTTAAGATTGTCATTGTTATTTTAGAATGAAATTGTTTGATTGCCTTACAAAAAATTGTGGTTGTTTTGCACCAGTAAGTGTGTTTCAAATGTCATGCCATATACTGCATGTGTGCTAGCTATTTTTTAGCCCTTTATTTGCTTTTACGACAACAATTGTTTGTATTAGCATCACTTTGGAGATTGCAGCGTCTCCTTGCTAAAAAAAGAAAGAAAAAAAGTTGAGCCGTGCGTAATTTACGCATGCTTCTTCTTAGTATACCCTAATAGGAAGGCTTGGATTTTGGTTTTGATTTGCGTATTCTCTCGGTAGACGTTTTAAAAGTTTGTCTCTTATGCACTCATGCACACACACACGCACAGTAGGAACCGGAGGTGAATTTTCTGGTTTTGGCGCGTGTTCAGGTGTGAATGTCTCGGCTAGCCTTTTGAGCACTTTGATGCGTTAAGCTGTCGGCGTTGGCCCGGATTAGCCTTTAAGTGTCTCTATTTGTTAGCGCGTCCAGCCCTCACCTCTTCACCGCCGTATCAATCAGTCAATTAAACAGGCACTCACACACCGCGAGCTGCACGAGACCTCAGCCGGTGCATCGCTCTCTCTCTCTCTCTCTCTCTCTCTCTCTTCTGGTGTGTGTGTGTGTGTGTGTGTGTGTGTGTGTGTGTGTGTGTGTTTGACCCCGTTTCATTTACCTTTCTGAATATGTTAACATGCGTGTGTATGACAGACATGGGCTAAGTTGATTTTATTATTTTCGTGTCATGCTTCATGCTCTCTCCCTAGTTTTAGGATGTTACTGCACGTGCTCACATTTTGGGTTTAGCTTTATTTTATTTTTAATTGATTACGTAATTATTAATTAGTTCTTTTAGTTTATTTTCTTGAAGTTTCCAAGTGTAAAGTTCAGCCACCTCCAAGAATTCCCTCGGTGCAATACATGAACATTTATTTTTCATGTTTATATTTTCACACTGTTATAGTTTCCCACAAAATAACTTCACACTTTAAAAAAAAAAAAAAACTTTCTCTGACCATCCGTCAATGTGTTCATCCAAGGAAAACACCAAAGTTTAATCCATGAAGAGTGAAGCCGGGGATGTTTGTGTTTGCGTGTTTTCAGTCTCGCATAGGAGTTTGTCTCAGAAGTGGACTCATCGATACAGCGCGAGCCAAACTTGAAAAAAAATATATTTGGAATAATCTTTAAGAGCATTCGCTGGTTGCTCTTCAGATTTTTTTTTTTCGTCTCTTTTTAGGTGTTTACCCCCCACACAACTTCGATGCATATTTATGCGCGCCGTGGGTGTACTCCATCAATTATTTCTGCCAGTATATTTCCAGATAAACAGTGTTTGTTAATCAATACTTGCATGTAACTATTGCAGATTAAGAGATCGATCAATGGATCCACCCCAACCCCGACCAATGTTGTTTTTCTGTCGTCAATTATTCATATGTAACTTTACACAACAGCAGCCTCCATCTGCAAAGTTTGTGAGCGTGTGTGCGCGTGCTTCTTGGACAGTAAAACTGGACATACACATGCGGGAGATTTAATAACATTTCATGTTTTTAGATTGAAAAAAATAATATACCAAACATATAATTATAATTATTCTAATAATAATGTCTCCAAATTTGTTCAATGGGCTAAAATCTTTTTTTTTAAACTTAGTAGATAAAAGAATATGAAGTAATAGACCTACTAATTATATTTATTTATAGTAAATTACATTTTTTTTTCTGATTTCCGATTTGCAGCTGGGTTTTTGGGCATTTTTAAAGGGTTGGACTTTTTGTAACTCTACATCCTAGGCAGCTTTAGCCTCTTGTCTGGGATCTCTTTCTCCTTGTTTTCCTTCGTGTGAACTTTCAGGCCATGAACGTGTTGGACGTCTCCTCTGCAGCCTCCTCCGCGCAGCTCGTGCAGGCCCTTTAATTGGATTATTTCCCTGCTTTTGTGCGTCTTCTCGCCGGCCGTCTCATCCGTCTCTGCGCTGTCAATACTTGGTGGAAATATTTCCGACATTAAATGGCATTTGGGGAAATTTCTCTCAACTTCACTCACCCTTCCCTCCCTCCCTCCATCCATCCCTCACCTCTGCACGGCCGCCTTTCAACTCGTGAAGTCGTCCAATCACATTTGTTTTAATATCAGCGCTTTAATAACGCTGCTGATGTTTATACCAGTATAGGCTACACTGCAGGCAGATATTAGGCTTCATAGTATCTACGGTTACTGAAGGCTCAGCCTCATTTACAGGCACGAAAATAATCATAATTATAATTATTACATTAATAACAATAACTATTTGTCATTATAAAAACAATAAAAAACTATCGATTACATTAAGTAGGCCTCCTCTAATGAATCAGGATAAACGGGATCTTCCAAACGGACAGTCCTAGATATATATATATATATAGTCTATATATATGTAGGCTATATATATGAAATTATTATTATAATGATTATTATTATAATTATTACGAACGAACAATCTGAATTTAAGGAATTATTTTTTACAAACTTTCCTTGTTTGAACTTGAAACTCCCTGCTTTTCCTCTATTCTTCGTTGATATTACATGTGTGTCCATTTTCGCTTATTAATATGTTTAATAAAATCTTTAAGAAATAATAAAAGTCCATGTTAATTTAGGGTTCTTCTTTGCGTAATTCCCTCGGCGTCACTTAGATTGATATTGTTGTTCATTTTCTAATTAATTCTTTACTTTATTTTAGGATAATTGTTAGAATTGTTATATTGTGTTAAATTTTAAAATTTATAATGATAATAATAATAAGTAATAATAGTAATAATAAATAAAGTAAATAAAGTTGAAATGTTTGTTGGTCCGGCTCAGATTATATTCGTGATTCATTGAGCATGCATTAAAGTTTTGGATGTAGCCTCCCTACCTAATTTTTCTTCTTCATTAGTTTTTACTTTTTTCCATCCTAATTTTGGAAATAGACTATTGGCTTTCTTTTATTCATCAGGGCAGTCGACCTATGGGCTCTCTCACCTCTCCTCATCTCCATCTCACTCGGAAAAAGAAACTTCTGACAGGTGCGGGGGGCGAGTTTGATTTTTTAAAAATGCTCTCATCCTTAATGTGTTGTCATCTGGAAAGCAATTGCGTATGATCAAAGTGCGGCTAGTTAGTGCGGTCAATATCCTTTCCAGCAAGCTTCTCACATATCGATAACGAGACAACAGAGCCTCGCGCTGAGCTGCGTTCAGGGCCTCTGGATCTTCTCTGTGCGCCGAGAAACCTGGATGTATCCCGTGCGTAAAAAAACAGGTTGAACCTCCTACAAACAATACAGACGGTTTAAATATAAAAGCATTAAATCTTAAATTTCAAGTGATTTGCTAACTGGAGTCAATTTCGATGAAGGAATTTAGAAATAAGTGCGCTAAAGACGCGTCAATTTCCGTCATTGTAAGAGTATTGGAGTAATTTAACTCCTGCTGGCACCTCTTCCTCCCTCTCGCTGTGTCCGTTACTGTATGACAGTAAAGAGTAAATAAGGCGATTGATCTGTGGTCTGTGTGGAGCAGTTGTCCTGCGGGAAAACAACACAACACAATCACCAAGACCAGCTCCACTCAGCTGGACTAAAGTCTCGTTGTCATCCAGTTTGTTTCGTAATATTTCGCGCATTTGGTTTGAAAACAAACTTCGTAAATACTTTGTTTTTTGTAAATTAGGTTTTTTTTTGCAGCTTGGTATTTAAATGTGTTATTTGTGTGTGTTTTTTTAACAGTGACGTGTTAGTGCAGTGCGACAGCGGCACTCTCCCTTCCTTCTGCCTCTTGGGTCGGAACCTGCGCAGCGGCGAACGAACTCCAATCCAGGCCGACAGACGGTGATCCGGCTTCGGCCTCAGGTGTATCTCTGAGGCGGGGCGACGCGGGAGTCCAGGTTGGTTCAACTCCCACCCGTCATCCCATTCCTCCTTAATCCAATCTCCCTTTGCTTTCTTTGCTGCTTTGGTTTAAAACTCGCCTTTATGTGTCTTTTGAACCAGATGAGTGGTGCAAAAAAATAACTTATTTTGATACTTCCAAAGGAAAGTCTCTTAAGGCGATGTTTTACCATGGGAGGGGTCATGTGTTTTTATTTTAATTTTAATTAAGGTCTACAACTTGAACTCTTGGAACACTTGCAGATGGAAAATGTATTTGATATATTTTCAAATTTAAATTATATTTATTTTGGGGCATAATACGGAAGGCGTATTGATCCTAATAAATCACGTGGCTTTAGTTTTGAAAATTGCACGTTTTCCTTTGATCAGCTTTGGAATCAGATCATTTGTTTCTACTTTACAAAACAGCCCTGTCTGTGAATAATCAACAGTGTCCAATGCTCCATGTAATCGCCTTTGGCCAATACCGATCACATGCAACATGCTCCTCCAGCCAGCCAGAGTCTGAATGCTTCCCCCGGCTCCTCTGCTCCCCCTCCCTAATTCTTCCTGTCTGATATTAGCCCCTCGGCGCACCTTAAAAATTTGTGTTTCATTATTCATTATTCATTACTGTTTGGTTGCAGATACACTTCTACCTGTTACACTGTCAGGTTTATAGGGCAATTGAAGGACTCCTCTGTATCTCTCTCTCCATCTCCGAGCCTCTGTCCTGCCTCCCCCCTCCTTCTTCCTTTCCCTCGTCTCCCCCTCCTCTCTCACACCCCTGTTGTCTCTCGCTGCCACACCTGGTAACTACAAACTTGTACACAATAATAACAGCCAGATGTATCCATCTATCTCTTGATCTAGCCTGTCGGCAGTTAGTGGAGTGGCTGAGAGACTTGCAGGCGTGAAAGGTCAGTTAATCAATGGCGCACAATTTGACAAATCCCAGCGACTCTTATCATCCTCACGGGCGTTTAGGGCCGAAAGGAGGACCACCGAGATAAATGCTTAATCCTGACTGCGCTGCCCGAAAAGGGGGAGAGACAGCGAAGGGACAGACACTGGGCATGCAAAGGTTGAGAAGGGGGAGTTGTGCGAGTGGAGAGAAGTGAAGAACGAGAGTAAGAAGGAGATGTAAAAGTGTCTCAAAGCCAAACTGTAAGGTGAACATATGTGGCAGCATTTGGAAATGACAGATTCTCCTTGATTCTGTCACAATCAGAAAAGAAAAACAGGCACATTCCTTCTGGGCTGACATTGAAACCCTGGTTTTGCTCTTAGTTGTGGCTCCGCTGCCATGTGTAAAGTTGAGAAAAACCTGAGGAAAACAAAGGTGTATGAGTGGTTGAATTCTCCTGTGGCATGTTAGCCCGCCTGCAGCAGTGTGCAACCAAGAGGAAAATGAGCTTTTGTCCACAAGGCTGGCCTCTCTTTTATTTTTTTTACTCGGTTTTCTGAACGGCAGGGGTTTTGGGTGGTGGCACAATTTTTTTGCCCCTATACCCTTAACAAGAATCAGCTCAATATGACACAGAGGCAGTTTTTTTTCTTCGATGGAACTGTAATCCACCGTTTATCCACCTTTTTGTGGCTTTATTTAGATTCATTTAATACAGTTTAAGTGTCAAAAAGGTGTCGGTTGCACTGATTTCTTCAATGTGTGCTCGTGTTTTTTCAAGAGAGTTGCTTGAGCGATCACACACACACACACTCTCATGTCCTTTATCTCCATCTCAATACAAGTTCAGTGTTATTCAATTGAGATTAGTTGCACTGGCATGACAGCAGATCCCTAGTATTGCCAAAGCACTTAGGAGGCAATGACAGGACCACATCGACGTGCGCTAACACACACACACACACACACACACACACACACACACACACACACACACAACACCCTGCGACTGGCCAACCTTGCAGGAAAGAGAAAGTAAGAGGATGGAGAGATAGTGACAGCCCAGTCAAGAAATATTTTGGCAATTTTTTTAGGATGACAAAGTTAGAGGATGATAGAAAGTAGTCAAAAAAAAAAGTGTGAAAAGCAGGGGAGAAAAATGATGAAGGGACCCGGATGGCGAGCAGAGCTGAAGCATGACAGAGGGCGTCCAAAAAGATGAAAGAATGATTGACTCACAGGGAGAGTGATGGAGAGGGAATGAGGGAGAGGAAGGCAACAGAGAGTAAAACAAAATAAAAAGAAAAGGGTGAGGGATGCCGAGGGAGGAGGAGAGGGAAGGAGAGAGCAGGCAGAGGATACAATGTTTAAGAGTGATGTACGAGAAGAGGGGAGAGGAAGAGATTTACTAGAAGAGAGATTAAGTCAAGTTGTCCCCGGTCAGTCATTAATCCGATTTAAGAGCAATTAAGGTGAGACTGATTCCTTCCTAGAGAGAAAGAAATAGATGGAGAAGGTGAAGAGAGAGAGGGGGGGGGGTAGAAAGAGAGGAGACAGCAGGGGAGAGAAGAATAGAGTGATTGAAAGAGAAAAGCGGGAAAATAAAACAGGTGTCCGAGCTCTGTTGGCCACTTTGTGGACAAATTGAAGGCAATGTAATACAGTAAGTGTTTAAAAGATGTTTCAAAATCATGGGGTTTAAATGTTTTTGTACAAGCACAAACATGAGTTAAAATTAGATCAACCTTCATGCACAGTTAAAGGTCAAACAGAGGTAAGGGCGAGAGGTGGAGTTCTATTTTAAGACGGACGATATAGAAGGTTCTGTTCATGTTTTTCCTACATGCTGCTAGTCTTTTAATAACATTACTTTTTTCATGAAAGTCCTGGATATCCCTGAAGATCAAGGATCATCCCAAAGTGACTCCTGACACTGTTGACAGAAGCTTAATGTGAAAGCAAATAAACCAGGACCTCCAGTGTGTGTGTTAGACCTCTGCTACCTGCAACATCATTCCTCTGAGAGCGGGCAGAAGTTGTAAAAGTTGAGTCTGAGGTGAAAGTGCAGCGGCAGAACGGAGGATAGAGACACAGGTACAGGGAGGCGGAGACTGAGGGACAAAGTGAAGAATGAAAATGAAAGGAGAGAAAAAAAAAAAGGACTGAAAGTAGCTCCCGCGATCCCCGCTTGCTGTGCTCTGTTGTTCCAGATGTGTATCAGAGGTCTCCAGGTCGACACAGGGGTCCCTTCACCGCTGTTGCATTTCTGTGTCTATTGGGAGATGCTGGTCCTGATAGCTCCGCCGTCTGACACGTACACAACAGTACATAAATCAAACGCACACATACGCGCGCTCACTCCATTTATCTCCCACTCAAGCAGCGCCGTGATAGCAGCCAACTCTGCATAGAGTTAGAGAGAGAGAGGTTGTGGTCTGTCTTGTTAAGTGGGAAGGTAATGGGGAGCCGTAAAAAGGTTTATACTTATGTTGCTGCCATCTCTTTTGTTCGGGCCTTTCCTGTGTCTGTGGCGCTCTTCATTTTTTTTTTTTGATGTGCTCAAGCAGTCGAAAGCACACTCGACTGCATCCATAATTGCTCTGCAGGACAACAGTGTGTTATTATGAAGCCAGTTAAGGGAAAGAATGGAGCAAATTGAATGCAGAGGTCATGGCTTTTGTTGTGCAACATCTTCGCCCTGTGAATGGAAGTGGTTTTAAATGATTTCACTGACTTGTATCAATGTTGCATATTTCTTATTTCAAAGCAGCGCACCATTACAGTGAAAATTGCTTAAAACACACCTCATTTTATTCTATTTTTCTGTTCAGACTCTGTGATCAAGTCTATTTTTCTCTGGGGTTTCTGTGTATCAATCTGAAGCCAATCACAAGTCCCAGATTGAGAGGCCATTTGGCTGCTGTTGACAAGCGGCAGCAGCTATTGACAGGGCCCTGCCGTGGAGGCGTGTCTCGAGCCCCGTGTCCAAAGCGTTTGTGGCGTTTAATACACTGTAGCAGTGGTCCTCGCAGCTCTCACCCTGCATGCTACTGCCATAGGGATCAATATGCACTGGGTTAGAGAGAAATGGACCATCTGATGCACACTCAGAGAGGGGGATGAGGGGAAAGGAGTGAGAGCGGCAGAAACAGCAGGGAAGGGGAGGTTTAAAGGAAGAGGAGAGGAACAAGCTCGAAAACGGGGAGATGGTGAGACCAAAAGGGGGAGAAGAGACGAGAGGAAATGATTAGAGGCGCAGTTTAAAAGACATGGAGGCAGAGAGCGGCCGGCACAAAGATAGAAGCGAGAGAAAGTGGTCAGCGGTTGAAAGAGACATTCAGCTGGGAGAGAAACAGATTGGAGTGAACGGGGATAGACACAGAAAAAGAGGAAGACTCCAGACACCAGGGAGGATACACACAGGAAAGGAAAAAAGACATAAGGGAAGAGTGGGAGATAGGAAAAAGGGGGGTGTTGGGGTAGAGGAAGGGGGGGGGGGGTGAAAACAGAAAGAGAGAGAGGGGTGCAGGCTAAGGATGAGGAGGAAGGGAAGAGGAGGGAGGGGGGTAAAATTTCCATCAGGTTTTCAATTGGGGCGGATCAATAGTGTATTAGAGCTCACCTTGACCCCGTCTCTCCCCCCTTCTCCCCGGCCCAGCACACAGGCCAAGCTACTCTCCCTCACAGCAGGGGACGGAGAGGGGGAGAGATTGCATTACGGCCTCCCTTTCTTGGACCAAAGTGGCAGAAAATGGCACAATAAAAGCAAGAGCGGACAGAAAGAAAGAGGAAAAACTAAGTCGCAGCGGGCAGAAACAGAGAAAGTGGGAGACAAGGAGTAAGAGAGAGAGAGTAGTCGAGTCGTAGGAGACACCAGCGGGGGTCTTCGTGCTTGTTTGGATGTAGCTTTCTGGGAGAGGAAACTGGTTGGGTGGCAGAATCTGTGCATGAAGACATGACTTGTGTTTCAACACAACACTGACAGAAGGGCAGATCGTAACAGAAATGTGTTCTTCTAACACGTGAATTCATACGTGAAATAATGCATTCTCTTCATACACACTTTCATCATGCTACTTTGTTTTCTGTACTGCAATCTGCAGATTC